GTTTGGTTGTTCTGCTGAACTCAGCCAAACCTATGAGTCAGTCACGACTGGGATTTTCAGCACTAAGCCGGTCTCCTCCCACTTTTACAGGACGATTCATTTCAGCTTCACGCTCGTAAAAAATAATGTTTCCCTTCAGGTTCTTAAGTTCTCACCATTAGAATGATTGGAAATTGATTTATTCTTTATTCTGGTAAACAGAAAAATATTAATATAAAGCTTGGAGGGACTTTGGACACACCCAAGCAGACTGGTGCTTTTACAGTCACACTGTAATCCCAATGAACAAAATGAGCTCTTGGTATTAACCCGTTGCTGTGTTGTTAGAGCTTGTATTAGAGTCTTTTATTGGGTTTTATTGGTAATGATGCTATTACAAATTAAACTACCTCTGACCCCTAGGAATTCATAAATACATGATTGCCCTTTATACATTTTCATTCGGGGTGTGCAGCTCTGCCATCTAAGATGATCCGATACGTATCCAGATACGTCGGCTACGATACGATTCAGGGACGATGCTTTTTAATCCGGAACAATTCGACTTGATGCAATCTGATACAGTTCTTAACGTTTGTTTAATGCAGACATTTACTTTCCATTTTAAATTAAAATAAACTAATTCTGTAAAGTGACAAAATACCAGCGAATCCCAAGTATGATTTTCTTTATGGGAAAAAAATGGAAGACAAATGTCTCATTTCAGTGTTTAATGTCATTGTGTGTCACAAACATCACTCAATAGTTTTGACTCGTTCTTTAAGCTTCTCAAATTTTAATAATCAGGTTGTTCACGACCCCCCACCCTCACCCTAGTCTGCCAGAGACTGTAATATAAAGCATTAAAGCTACCAAACTCACACAGGAGGAACACGGCTTTGGACACAGACAGAACAGCTATATTCACAGACAGCAGTCAAAATGTCTGCTCCAGGCCTAAAAGCACAACAACAGAAATACGTTCTTGTATTACTGAGGTAACTGGGCTGGTTAACATGTATATAACAGGTTATATAGCCTACAGTAACAGTGGTTTTGAGTTCCTGTCCTCTGTTGTCTGTCTCATTCCACACTGTTTGCCACAGTATTATTTTATTTCTCCACAACTGACGACCCCGCGGGTTGAGAACCACTGCTCGGTGACAGTAAACTAAATATCTTTAAGTTTTTAGACAAAACGAGACATTTGAGGAAGTCATTTTGGGGCTGCTGGGACTGATTAACATTTTTCTACTGATTTTTTGGAGCAAACAACTAACTGATGAATTGAGATGATGAATGAATGAAAATAATTAATAATAATAATTGTTAGTTGAAGCTCTAGTACAGGTGTCAAACTGTTAATCGCTTTGGATAAAAAGCTGTATGTAAATAAAGCCCATGTAGTACTAAAACACAGTTTTTGACGTGGGTTTTATACTCTGTCGAAGTCGAAACTATTATATTTGGATTAAGTCAGTAAATGAGGCAAAATATCAGTTGAAACGTGTATATATCATGAAGAAGAAATGTGTATATTTCACAGTTAGAAACCTGGTACATCAACACAAAGAATCTGCACCACTGAATACTGAATACTGCCAGACATGATGAATGTTTTACTTTTGTTTTTACTGCCGTTGGACGTCTCAGCATTGATTGATTCAGCTGCATTATGAATACACTCGGATGATGAAAATGAGTCATGAGCAAACACCTTCCTCCCTGCATTCAGTTATTTCCATGTAGTGATAACAATTCTTTGTATCGTTACAGCCTTTTGTGAAGCAGAAACACTTGTTAGTGCTTGCTCTGTCCTGTTATGCATTATTTAAACTCGGTACGTGTTAATACAAGTGTTAACCGGCAAGGAATCAGAGTTAAAAATGTTTCTTAAAGAATATCCAGTGTTATAAATTACAAACAAGTTGCAATTCTGGCCACCAAACTCTAAAGTTCCAGAATTCCTCTATGAACTGCATTAAAAGAGTTAAAGTCACTCTTTTGCTTTCCTCCTGTCAGGATGCCTCTGGAGAGCCTACAGGTGAAATACCTGGACCACAGCACAGGTGAAAGGTCATCACCCCAGACTGAGAGCGTCCCCAGGTGGGGAGGATAAGGTCAGCACAATTTAAAGTAGATTAGGGGTAGCAGGGGCAGATATGCTGGCACAGAAGTGGAAGGTCACAGGTTCAAACCTCCAAAACAGCCATAAGTGCTGGTTAAGTGCTCATGAGCACCTGTTCAACTAGCATGGCGAACTATGACTCAACATATGATGACGCATGCTTCAAGTCAAGATTCTTCAAATGAGGGATTGTGCATCTAAGTTGTGAGAACACATCAGGTAACTGCCAACAAAATGGACGTTTCCTTTCTCTCATTTCAAAAATGGTAAGAGTTGTGTTTCCTGAGAAAGAGAGGAGATGACTTCTAACTTCCATTGAGCGTTGTGCCCGCCATAGAAACACTTGCAGTTGCCGTAATTTTCATGAAATTTAGTTTGTTATAAACCTGAGAAATTGAACCTGATAGCGGTTACTTAAAGAATGAATTCAGTCTCTATGGGCGGCGCTCAAGAATCACCGCTTGGAAAAATGCTGCAGACAGGTGCAGTTTTTGGACGTACAAAATACAAAATATTCTAAACAGCCAGTGCTAGTCAGACCAGCTCTTTGGACAAAAATACAGAATGAAAACAATGAAAACATGTATCCTAGTGTGTGTGAGCTGGTGCATAAGGTATGTTGGGCTTCAAATTACGGTCTAACAGGAAACTGGCGAGACAAACTGTGAGGGGAAAATAATTCACCTGTTGAATTATATACTTTCTTGTAGACAGACATCCACATTTCACAAAAACAAGCAACCAGGCAGCTTTATAACAATATAATATGTAAAGAAATATAACAATATAATAGATATAGAAATCAAAATTTTTGACAAAAGCTAGAAACTCCTACAAGTAACCAGTATCAGGTTCAACTCATGTTTATAATGAACCAGATTTCTTGAAAATTGGTTTAGAATTAAGAGTTTCAGTCAGTTCTGTATCTATGATTGTACTGTTAACTAGCAGATCTTGACCTCCCCAATATGGCAACTTTGCAATCCTATAGCAGCGGCATACAGCAGCGGACAATGAGGTATCTATGTTTCTATATTTATGGTGCCCACCACAACAACCCGGCTCACAAACAACAATACTGGCATGGTATTATAGCACGAAGCATTCCATCCAGCATTTCTCAAAACTTTTCACTGCTCTTACCGTCAGGTGCTGAAAAAGCCAGGCTCTCAGGATGTTAGTGGCCACTTTGGGGAAGATTCCTCTTTTCTTGTTGTGCAGTTTGTCCCTGTCAGGGTCGTCATCGTCCCCTGTGCTGGGAGACGCCATCCCGTTATCCAGGCAGTCACCTGATCAACAGACGGAGAAGAAGAATTCATAGTCTCAACCAACGAATCCAAACGTACCACATCAGACGGGTTATTAAGTATCTGAACACCTTTCTGAAGGTGGTTTTTAGTGGACCTCATGCTCAAAACCTAGCTGTTTAAGAGCACCCCAGGTGAGTTTTATTCTGTTTCTGTCCACTTTGAATGAAGTTACGATGATCTGAAGGTAAAATTAATGTTTTTGTCTCTGGAGTCTGGTGGAGAGTGATAGTG